TCATATGCAAACAATAAGCCTTGAAAAGTATAAATTTATCATACTTTTTTTTCCTTTTGTGTTTTGAAACAGAGTCTCAAAGTATTGCCCTGACTCTCTTGGAACTTTCCATATAGACCAGGCTAGCCTTCAACTTGCAACAATCCTCCTGCCTCTGTGTCCTGAATGCCATGATTGCAGGCATGTCCCAGGAATAGACTTTTTTTTTCTTTTTTCTTTTTTTTAAGAGGCAGACACAGGCCAGGCTGGGATTATAGGCTTAACCAACTCCTTATAATCCTGAACTCCCTTTTTACCAATTTAACTTGAGACCCTGATCACACCCCTCTTGACTTCCTTATTCTCCCTCTCTGAAATGTTCTGTCCCCACTGCAAAGATCTGATTGAAGTTCAGCACCTTCTCTAGAGAAGCTGTTAAATGAAATACATTTTGTAGCTTTAATGTCCAGTGTGGGGGGCACACAAGCACACTCATGTCACAGTGGACATGTGAGGATCAGAGGACAACTTGCTGGACTTGGTTCTCTCCTCCTTCTGTGGTGTAGGTCCTGGGGATAAATTCTGCTGCCTTCCACAGGATCGTACAGTGGGATTTCAGTGGACAAACTCATCGGGCTGGCCCATTGGAATTACCTTCAACACATTTTGCTGAAGAAAAATGCCATTTGTAAAGCCTTGGGGATACCTGCCTTTTGAATAGTCATTGCCATTCCTGCAAAACCCATGTGAAACCATAGCACTCCCCCTTTTTTCATAGTGGGATTTGTCCCCCAAACCCCAGCAGTGTATTAATCAATTACTGGGCACAACTCTCTCTTGTACTGGTAAGCTGGATAATCTCCACCCACATGATGGGGCCCTGGTGTGAAAGTACTCACATAGTTAAAACCTTTGTTCTCATAGTCAAGTCTACATAACTTAGGAGCTAGTGCCCTACAATTATCTCTTAAGGCAGGACATTAGACAAGGAGAGGAGCCTTGCAAATAGACATTCAGAACTTCAATAGACAGGCACTGAGAAGGAGACATGGCATGTCTGTCCCCGTTGTCAAGTAGGACTGGGCGGTGTTGATTCCTCTTCTAGTAGAGCAAAATTCAGGTCATCAGACTTGACAGCAAGCACCTTTACTGAGCCATCTCACAGGCCAAGTTTTGTGTAGTTTGATGAAGCCCCACTAGCCCTGCACAAATCCCACCTTGAGCATGGAGGGAAAGCCCGATAGCACACAGTTCTTGGCAAGGGGGTGGGAGACCTAATCTTACCAGAGGGTGAGGAGATATGTACTCTCAGCCCTCGCTCTCCTTGCCCTACTGTGTTAGAGTCTATGGCTAATATGGGGCCTGGATTACCTTTAGTGTGTGGCCATCTAGCTTAGATAAATTCTGTTCTTGAAGCCTCATGGCTCTCTCTAAGCTCACACATAGCTAGAGGCCAGAGGGATCCTGTGATAACCCATTCTCTGGGGAAATAATTTTGAGAAGGTCTTTCCATAACCACTTGCTTTAAACAAGTTGACCTGTACCTGACACTTATGCTCCCCATTCTGGACACCCATAAAAGCAAGTACCTGGGTCCAGACCTCCATTATATAGCTCACTGACCCCTGTGCACATGGTTTGGGTATGCTATATACCGTGGGAACCCATAGTAGCAACATCCTTTCTTCCCATGGCTATCCTCTAACCACAGCAGGCTATTCTCTGTCTCCACAGTTCTAAATGAAGCCAATGGCTGTATAGAAGAAAGGAAACTAAACAGAATAAAGCTACAGGACCGAGGAGTTGCCAGGCACAAGCAGCCAAAGGCTGTCCAGGAAGCATCCCTCCATATCTCTACCTTCCAGGAACAGAGGCTGCTGCTGGAGAGCTCAGTGACTTCCAGTCACAGACACATATATCTGGCAGCATCCAAAGGAGTGCCATCAAACCAGAACCAGGAAGCTCAGAAAACAACCTGGACAAGGGAGCAGCTGTTTGTAGAGAAGCCCTCCCCTGCCCTGACTCCGGGCCAAAGAGGATCTCAGGCACTCCAGACCTGAAGCCCTGAGTTCCAGTAGGAGGGACTGAGGGAATGGTCCCCTACACCCCAGTCGGTTCTGCTCTTGCTCTGAACACTCCAAGCACTTACCCATCATCCCTTGAGCTCTTGGATTCTGCCCCTAGACAATTGCCCAGTCTCTCGTCCAGTATAACCCTGAACAGAGAAGTCTAGAGATCAAGTTGGGGTCACACGCCCACTTTAATCCCTTCTGATTTCTCATGATGCCTGGTTAATTGACAGTTTTACGAGATTTAAAATCAGCCTAGGAGATGTGTCTCTGGGCCTGACTGCAAGGGTATGTCTAAAGAGAATTAACTAAAGGGGAAGGACTCTCTTCAAAATTAGTGGCCCCTTTCAACTGGTCACCTAGTAAAAGCAGTGTCCCCTGGCTGTCTGCCCTTCTTCTTGAATGTGGGTCTACAGCTGCAGCCACCATTCAACCTCAGTTTCTTTGTCCTGAACATCAATGGCTCTCCTGGCCTCCAGCACCAGGTTGGGACTGCTTAGGCATCCGTCTTTGTGGACTTAAGTTATGGCCTCTGTGTTACTCCAACATGTAGACAGCCATTATGACTACCCAGCCCACTGTGTAAGGCAGTCTAATAACCCTATACACACACACACACACACACACACACACACACACACACACGGTTTGTACCTCCATGCCAGGCTCACTCCCTTAGGATCAATCCAAACCCCTCCACTGGCTCCAGGACCCCAAAGGCGAGCCCACCTTAGTATTTCCCAGTTCTTCCTCCTCCCCCTACCTCCTGGTCCCAGCCTTGGAGTAGCTGATTCCTCCTCACCCCAGGCCAGCAGCCCAACAGGCAGATCCCAAGCTCAGATATTCAGGAACAGGGAAGGCCATACTCAGAAATGGAGCCTGTTTTCTGCATAGGCTCTGTGCCCTCTGACCTCAGGGGGCAAAAGTTAGTGGTTGAAATGCCACTTGAATAAGCCTTGGACTTTGTCCTACTGGGCCAAGTGTAGGACAATCAGTAGAGCCAGCCTCTCCTCCAGATCTCAAAAAGTGTGAGGGTCCTTTGCATCCAAGTCCCAGAAGTGCATCCCTTTTCCTGTCCCCAGGGCCACCAGTAAACAAACAGAAAACATCTGAGGGAACATAAAGAAACAAACAGAAAACATGACAGCTGGCAAACTGAGCCAAGGCCAGAATTTGGCTCCTAAATCACAATCTTGCATCACCATTTTTTATTAGACAGGATACAGCTTTCAACATAAGTCATGCTCACCAGGTCCCACCCCACAGGAAGGTTTCAGGGGTTAGGGTTTGGAAGGGAGAGTTTGCACATAAAGGCCCCAACCTAAGCTTTGGGCAATCAGCAGGCCCAGTACCCAGAAATCTGTGCTATAGTGTATTCTACTGCAACTCCCAAAATGAACTCTTCAAGGGGAGGAAGAATAAATAAATAGTCAATAAATAATCGAGGCTGTTTTTTCTTCCCCTGGGAACTCAGACAGCCACTGGATGGGAACCAGGGATTGTACAGGGCTCTGTCCTAGCTAGGCTCTGGCAATGCAGCCAAGACTATGAAATCCATACTCACACTGTCAGAGGGGTGAGGGCATGGGCTGGAGGAGTCCCCTAGGCTAACCCACTGTGGTCTCTATTCTCTGCCTTTCACTGTCCTGGAAAGAGCCACATTAGCTCTGTCACAGAGGGTCTCAGAAGCCAGGGAGGCAGAGTGCCAGGAGAAGCCCATAAGCATTACCTTTGTCTTTCCCCCAATCCCAACTCCAGATCTCTTCAATGCTGTTGGAACCAGCTCTTGGATCTGCCCCACCACAACTCAATGAAGAGTGTAAACTCCTCATAGGAATGGCTGAACCCCAACTGACAGGTTCTGGGGAGTGGGTGAGCTTATCTATAGAGGGAGAGGAAAGTGACTGAAACATTCCGAAGACACACCATCTCCCTCCCATACTGAGTGTCTTCACTGCTACAAAAGACTAAACATGGAGGTTTCTATCTTGCAGGGTTTTTGGTGTGACTGTTTCTTTAAGACATCAACATCTCCAGTGTTGTCTCCGCTAGAGGCGTTTGAGACTTACAGAATAACCCACACCAGAGCTGGAGAAGGCCCGTGGTCCTGACTCTATTTCACAAGGTGGTGGGGACAGTTGAAAAGCCTGACGTACCCTGGGCCACATGTCCCCTCTCCACAAAGAATCATGTCCTTTCTAGGATTGCGGTGAGTCCTGGCTTCTGCTCTCAGGATGAAAACAGACACCCAGTATGAAAACAGACACCCAGTATGTCCAGACCCTTAGCCAGGATCTGCTTGGAAGAGAAAGAAAACTGCCAAGTATGAGGATTAAAGCACAGGTTGAACCTACTGTGGCCCAACTGAGCACAGGGCTTTCCCTAGTGGCTGGGAAGCTGAAACAAGGCTGGCTCTGGGGGTGTAGATCCCACGGTGCTAGAACGGAGAGCACAGAAGGATGCACTGATTGGTGCGGCCAGTGTGAATGCAGGGTCTCCAGGGGCATCAAGGCTGGACCATCCACAGCAGGGGCACCTGAAAAGCACATCACATTAAGGGTCACCACCTAGACATCCCTTTACCTTTCCTTCTGGCTGGAAAGTTCCCTCAGCTAACTCCTTTCCCTACCTGGACTAGTTTACCCTCACCTCCCTCTGTCCAAGCTGTCTCACTGCCCATGGCCAGCCTCACCTTACCATGGCCAACTTACAGATGGATCTCACCCCACCCTACTCCCACCTGGGGTCTGGCTATGTATTTGAGCCTCAGTGACTAGGGGCCCCAGTCTCTTAGCCATTGCATAACCTTTCATTTCCCTTGAAAACAAACAAACAAACAAACACAAACACCCGAATTCCTGAGTCCAGAGGAAGCCCCTGTGATGGTCCCAATCCCCTTCCTCCCCACCCCAGGCTCCCCAGTTCAACCTCAACCAGATCTTCTCTCAGTACCTGGGGCCAGAAGCCAGCTGATCACTCAGTGGTCACTCCCACAGGAAGCGCACATACCAGATGGTCTCATTCTTCAATTGTGGCCCAAACAGGGGGTTCAGCTGGGCCAAGATGGCAATGAGCCAGCTGTCAAGGACAGCAGAATGAGGGGACTGGGCACAGATGGGACCCATCCCACATACCAAGGGAGAACTTGGCTCCTCTGTGTCCTGGCTGGTACAGGGAATTGGGGTCAGGATATGCGGGTTTTGATGTGAGTTGATTTGATTTTCTGTAGGTATGTAAGGTCCCTGAGCTAGGACTGGTCTCAGGGTGAGGACGTATCCAGGGGCATTACCACACACCCCTCTACTGCCCCCTAGTGATTCTACACTGGCTTTAGTCCAATCAAGCAAGCATAATCTGGAGTGGAGCAGGAAAGCTGTGTTTGAACAACCAATCTGGGGGATTCTGATGCCCAGATAGGAGCAGACACTACTGAGCTGGCCCAACTCATCTGGAGGCAACACACAGATCGTGTAACTGTCACCTGGGAGGCAGAACCAGACCACAGCCCCTAGCTCCTGGGGAAGGTGGTACTCACAAGAGGTAACAGCAGACAGCAGTGGCTACCAGCATGGTGATGATCACCCTGCAATAGCAGAAAGAGAAAGGCAACCTTGGCACACAGAGTAAAAGAAAGACCTTTCCACATGAGCCTTCCTGGTGCCACCTGGAAAGGAGGCTGAGGTCTGTTCTGAGCAAGAATTACAATTTCTCTGTCCTTGTGTTGGAGAAGGCTTTGCCCGAGCTCCGTTTGTGGCAGCCCATCATAGAACGGCCTCAAAACTCATCTGGCAAGGTCAAAGAAAACAATGGATCAGAAGATGGGGCAGAAAGCAAGGAGGCAGGACCAGTATTGACAGAGAAAACAGGGTCTTTGTACCCACCCAGTGAAGTTCAAAAGTAGAGGCTTCCAACACAGCCAGAGAGATGTGTTACACAAGGAGTTCACCAAGGTGTTTGGGGGAGCCCAGCTTAAATCTTTTTTAAAAGACTTATTTTTTTATCTTTACTTACTTATGTGTACGTGGGTATGTGAACGTGTGTGCTGGTGCCCAAATGCCAGAGAGGACCTCAGATCTCCTGGAGCTGTAGTTAACAGTCGTGAGTCACCCTGTGTGAGTGCCAAACTTTGGTCCTCTGGGGGAGGTTCTCTCCAGTACCTTCAGATGTGCAGGCTCCAGCTAAACCTTAGGCTAAACCTAATCCAAGACAGAACCCAAGCACTTCAAGGTAGAGCTTAAGACAATAGTGCTGGATCCTCCCTTTAACATTAAGAGAAAGCTTGGACCACACTTGGCTGTGCACTGGACAGTAGTGCTGAGACAGTGCACGAGGGGGCAAACTGAGAGGTTAATAGGAGAAGGGGCTAGTAAATGGTGCAGAAATCTGCTAGAAACGTTCCAAAACTGAAGGGAGTTAAAATCATCCAACACATACAACCTGCGCAGGGCGTTGTTTAGGGCAACCTTCACAACAGCCTTACAAAGTAGGTACTGCCATCGTCCCTATTTTCCTCAGTGAGGAAACGGAGGCCTGCCATTTGCCCAGTGTCACACAGGTGGCAAGGATGGCACATCAGTGTCCATGGGTGGCCTTTACCTACTGCAAGGGTGTGTGTGTCAGGGGGACATTTAACCCCATTCAAAAGTCCCCTGACTTCTGAATCTACCCTTCACCAGCCCTCCTGCCTGATTCCTAGCTGCTGCGACCCAGGGTACAGATCTGGTAGAAGTCATGGAGAGGCATTCCAGCGTAGTTATGAACTGTAGGGTAGCTAGCAGGAGTCCCAGGGTGAAGGGACAAGCTGAGTCAGGGGACAGGAGAGGGTCTGCTGGGCATCGAGGCCTGCTCGCTTTTCTTACCCGCGGTTGGGTCCTTTGGGCACGAACCAGGGCCCAGCGATGCCGATGAGGCCCCAGAATGTGGTGAAGATGATGACTGGGAGGGCAAAGGAGTGTGCTGTCATGGCTCGGTGCGCGATGCTCTACTCGGGCGGGATGCTGGGTCAAACAGCGGATTCTCCAAGCAGGTGCACGGCCTGGAAGAGGGCGGTGAGCATGCGCAACGGGATCCCAGGCCCTGAACCAAGCGAATCTGCGTTGGTGCGTCTCTGAACCCCGCCTTCTAGGAACGCAGCCGGCACACCAGCTGTCACTCAGGGCCAAGGGCGGGGCTTCCGAGGAATCCTTTTTTTTGATTGGCCAAGTAGGGTTTTCCCCGCCCCAGGCTTGGGTTTGCACTTTTTCCTTTCCCTTTCCCACCAGGATGTGGTAGGTGTGCTTTGTGATCTGGCAGCCCTGGGTATCTGCGGACAGGGGACATGGTCTTTTCCCCCCAGATGTGGCCAGCCTTCTACCTACGGCAGATGCCACGTCCCCATCCAGAGATACGAACCACATCACTCCTACTGTAGTGATTTCGCCACATGTTGTTTTAGTCGGGATCTACATGGCCAAACTGGCCTTGAATTCTTTCTTGCCTCACTCAGCCTTCCATGTCTGTGACTACAGGTTTGTGTCACTGTGCCTGGCTTTCTGCCATAACAGAGGCAGATGATGGGCTCCAGTCAGATGCACATCCGCACAAGGGCTTCTGGCAGCTGTCTTGACAATGTATGGAAAAAGGCTAAACTATGAGTCACTTCAGGCGTCCTTCTTGGGTACAGAGGTGAACGTACCTGTGGGTGCTGAGGGTGGCAAGAGTTATGGACAGAGGCAGAGTTGAAAGAGCCTAGTGAACGGCCCAGTGGCACAGCCACATCTGATTGGAACAGCACAAGTCATAAGTCAGCACAGCTGGTGACAAAGATCCAGCAAAGCTGAGCCGCGTGATGGCCAACATGCCACCATATGGTTTTGATTTTGATCTCAGCCTGTTGCATACTTGGGGAACTTTTAATATTTGTATAATTTGGGGATATTGGATTGATGGAAAATTTCTTATGAATCATTTATGCCTTCTCCCAGGAGTACTGCTTCTTAGCTTACTCAGCAAAGTCCTGAACTTACTAACCCTCTTGCTTTTAAGGAGATCTCCTTATCTACTTGAAGGTTTTCCCATACCTTGGAGGTTGTGACACACATAAAGATGCCAGAGGTCTCTATGAGACTATGAGACACTCTTGAGACATCTGTCCCTGCACTTACTCAGAAACAAGATAATCAAAACAAAGTAAACTCAAAAAGATCAACAAAATTCAGTGGGATAGAGGAGTTGTCCACAGGTAAGACTGCAAGCCTCTTCCCACTACACACTCAGGCAATTATGTGGCATATACAGCAACAAAATTAGATTAGCTGAAGTTACCTGTGTCCTACACAGGCTTATACTGATGGCAAAGAATGATGTAGAAAGATGATAAAATTATTCTATAAAAATAAATGTGAACATTGTGCTATGCCAGAATTTGAATAATAATGGCAGCAGCTTTGGCCTGAGGATATTTCTTGGACATGACCATTAAGAGTTAATAGTGCATTGCTTGGGACATGACAAACTGCCCAGACTGGCTTGGAGGTTTTGTTTTAGTTTAGTGTCCTTGTAGCCACAAAAGCTACCAGCCTAAGAACAGGCTCTCAGATTCCTCTAGATTCTTAAAAATTGGGTTATGGGGTTATGAGTAAGAATAATTATAAAAGATGATCCTGTTTATCAATGATGTTGGAAAGGATAACTCTGTACTGCCAGTTTATTACTGATGACTAAAAGATGAATAAGAGAAAATGTTAAACACATCCAAAACCAAAAATGTTATGACCTATGCTTTGGAACAACATGAATGTATCCCTACTTACTAAATTCTGTATAAATATAGAAGCACTATGGCTGCTAGTCAGTCAGGCTGCAAGATTCTCCTGACCATCATGGCCTGACTCACTTCCTTCCCTCACCAACTCTTTAAATGCCCCTGGGACCTGCATCTCTGCCAGGGATGTGCTGCTTCTGTCTCTCCTAAGACAAAGCTAAGAAGTATCTTGTGCCTGATCCCTTCCATTGCTGCTCTTGCATTTCCTTCCATCTTCAGACCCTGCTCTCATCCGGAGGTAGACATGGGAAAGCCTGGGGTCTGAGGATTGTATTGACCCAAGGGGAGACCCTATATTGAGGGGGCTCTGTCCTGGAGTCCCCAGCAACAGGGGCTATGACACTTGGAAAGTGCAATGTAGCTAGAAGATACAGCCTGGGTTCCCCTCACGTGTGGAGAAGGCAGAGGCCCCCAGGGCTTAGCTCACTCCTTCCCCTCCCCACCCTCTAGCATGTTCTTTGAAGAGGTTGCTTTGCCACCTGGCAAGTACTGCCTTCCCTGGGAGCTTTCCTGCTAAGGCAATGCAAGGTTCATGCCAGCCAGGTGAGACTGCCTATGGTAGTCTGTTTCTAGGATACACCCTCCCACCTCCATGGAAGGCCAGGGAGGAGTCTCAGGCACCACTGTGGGCTGCCTCTTCTAACTTGTAGCTGCAAAGCTCTGGCCCAGAAACAGTCACCCATGCTATTGCTTGAAGTGTTTCTCTAGATCCACTGAAAAACCACACACATGCAGATGTGATGGACTGAATCTCCTGGCCAGAGATTTGGTAGTATTCCAGCATCTGTGCCGCTTTGCTCCATCCTGCCAGGAGGGCTAGCAGAGGGTATCTGACTGCTGACCAGAGCTAACCAGGGTACCCTGAAACAGTTCCTTGGGAATTCTGTTGGGTGGTGTCATGGCTTTGGTGCTGCTGGTGAAAAGTGGGTGATTTCCCCCTTGAAAGTGGGCTTCTGGATGAAAGCTCTCTGACAGCTGAGCAACAGTGACATGGATCACCTGATTCTATCTCAGGGTGCATTCACTCCTATTTCCATCTTCTCATACTCACTCAGGATTCAGAGAGGAAGGCCATACAAAGACAGAAAAAAAAAAGTCAAATTCTACTTTATCAAATAACAAAAGGTAAGACTTGAACATGTTTTAACCTAATTTGCACATCTTTGAAACCAGGAGCCAAAGCATCCCAGACCAGTCATCCTTGTTCCCAGCGACACAGGTGCCAGTCTGAGGGAACTGGTGACCTCCACAGTCCTGATCACACTTAGCACTCTAGAGATTTATCCTTTGTGGTATAGGTTTGGAAATGGCTACACTCACAGTTCAACTGGCCAGGGCCAGAGCTTCCTCACTCTCTCGTCTCTATGGCTACTGAAATCAAAGTGCTGAGTACAGTGCTAGATACTTGGAATGGTAGTCCCAGGGAGCACCAGTTATCAGGGGAGGGATAAGTGCTAGGAAATATAGAAGATGCTGTCAAGAGAACAGGAGCCAGGGGAGATGGCACACACCTTTAATCCCAGCTCTCAGGAGGCAGAGGCACACGGATCGCTATGAGTTCAAAGCCAGCCTCATCTTTAACGAGACATGCAGGTGAGATGGGGTGATGGTAGTGTCAGGAATGTGAAAAGGCAAAGATGAGAGGAAGGCCAGGGCTCTGCTAATGGGTTGTCTCCCGCTTCCTCACAATGCCCTTTGACTTGTTTGCCCCTGAGGCAAAACCAGGATGCTCCCAGTGAAATGCAGCCACCCCTAAGAGCAAAACAGGACCTGCCTGAACACAAAGGCTGCAAGATGAGCATGCTTGCCATGTGCCCACCTTGAGGGACTACATGAGAATACTGCTTGTCTCGAGCTGGCAAAGTAGCAATGGGGAGTACCTTCTATGGTCCAAAAACTTGAATAAGGCAAGCTAAGTAGCCTGTTCTAGGCACGACGGCCACCCAGCGCTGTGCTTCTGGGTAGACTTAACCTAGAAACACCCTGTTCTGTGGAGCCCCCTTTTCTACCTAAAGAAAACATTAGGAGGTGACCTCAGGGTACTGGTGTGGAGAGGACAGGGAAGCCATCCCAGTCCCCAAACTTCATTCCAGAAACCATGCCTACATTACTCACAGCTCTGGTGAGGGGACTTTTCAAGGAAAGATGCTAAGGGAAAGGTGAGCCATGTGGATGGAGACCTTTATCTCAGCCCTGACCTGGCAAATCCCTGGACTCTGAAATGACTGCCCGGGCCACCTCCCAGATCTGGAGTCGAAGGCTTGCCTGTCCCTTTCCCCCAAGTCCCCAGGCTGGATGGGAGATTTTCCTGAGTAGAAAAAACTACACTGCACACCAAGACTAAGTGCTGCGGCTGAGAGCCATGAGGTCTGGTTAGTGCTGAGGCACCTGAGTGCAGCATCAATGGAGTGCACGCACCTGCTGGAAGGAGTAGATGGGTGGCTTAGTCAGAGGCTGTGTGCTTATGACACAGAGCAGGGGCTGCAGCAAACAGGCAGCAATCAAGGCTCCTGCCTATTTAAAATGAGCAGGGGACAGAGGCAAGGAGCCCTCCTATTAGGCAATCCTCTAACCTGGAGCTAAAGGCAGAACCTAGACAGATCATCGTAACCAAACAGGCAAGCAGTGAGCCTGCAAGGACAGGCTGCCCTGGAATGAACAGAGCTTCAACTCACAATAAAGGGGGAGATGTGAGAGGGCCCACAGTTTTACTGGAGTTCCTTCTATGAGAAGAGATGTGGCTATAAGCCAGAGATACCCACGAAGGTCCTAGGGAAGCTTATGAGAAACCACGGCTGCTGAGCTGGTTGGGGACTAAGATTCTACTCATCCAGGATGGGGCATGTTTGACAAGCCCTGGTGCTTCCCAGCAGTCTGCAGGGCATTCTACACAAGGGCAGGTGCAGCTGTCCTGTGGACAGCATGCGTGGCCAGCACTTCCACCCCCAATAGATCCTAGCAGCAAAGCTGATGCCTTTACTGCTAAGGGCAAGGGCAGGGTAGGCGCTAAGTGCTCTAGACAAGTCCTTCTTACCAGGACTTTGCGGATTCCAACAGGCACTTGGATTCTCTGTGGCAACTACCACATGAGGAGTGAAACTGAGGCACAAAAAAAGAGGAAGGGATTAATCAAAGGCACACTGTCTGCAGGAGAGCTGGCCTGGACCCCACACCTCCTGACCCCTACCTGTCATACACTCCTCAGAACACTGCCTGGTGCCACAGCAGCTAACCAACCCTAGGGCTCCGGGGTGGGGGGTACCAGGCTCCCTTCAGAGAAGGCATGCATGTCTCACTGTGTAGGAGCTGTGCTGAGACCTGCTTTCTTAGAATGTTGGTCTGTTTTGTGTTAAAGGCAGGCCTTGGGGGGTAGGGTCTCCTTGATTCTACTGTATGAGCCTCCACAGTGGTCCAGAATGGCCTGGGGCTTCTCCAGCAAACCAAGGTAGGACCATGGTCATTTCCACCATCAAAGTGGCCCTCCTCAGAGGCCACCTCTTATTCATGCCAGGGATGCAGAGAGCTGGGGTGTTCCGTTTCAGGAAAGTCCTCTGACACCAGAATGGGGTGAACTCTCTCATGGCAGAATTCTTTCTTTGGGAAAACCAGACTTGAAGTAAGTGCCTCTCTGGCACGCTTTTGCAATGGGGGTAGGAGTGGGGGTATTGCTGTGCCCTGGGGTCCTTGTTCCTTGGGAATGTCTGCTATAACCCTTTGTCACTGCCCACATTCTGGGCCCATGAGGTATCCGAGGACAGCCTAGAATCTTCCGAGAGGCTCTCTCCATGATCAAAGTGCCCCGAAGCTTTGTCCAGGCTACTCTTCAGAACTACAGGGCCTTTGAGATGGTCTAGGGTCCAGGCACCTTCACCATGCGGTCCTGCTGGAACATCATGGCTCCCTAGATGGCGTGCCGATGTCTTGTGAACCATGGACTCTTCCTTACAGAGAGCTGCCATCCCCTCCTTCCTGAGCTCTATCTGTAGAGGAGATGATGATAAGCACACCCAGCAGAGGATGGGTGCCTTCCCTATCCCATGTCTAAGCGTGGTACAGGCAACATTCAGTACAGACCACACAGACCAGCACTGCATCCCACACTACAAACCTGCCCCCCCCCCCGGGGCAATGGATTGGGTGGGGGCTTTGTCACTAGGGGACATTTGGAAATGTCTGGAGGTCCTTTTGATTGTCACACCTGGGAAACAGATATTGGTATTCCAGAGGGAAATTAGTGGGTTAGAGGCCAGGGACCTGCACACATCCACTGTATAGGGACCCATGGCAAGGAGTTATTGGGTCCTGAATGACCACAGGCTCAGAAGAAAAAAAAAAAAAGCAGTGGGATCAGTAAGGAGGTGATTGGCTGGAAGTGGGAGCAGTAGGAAGGTGATTGGCTGGAAGTGGGAGCAGTAGGAAGGTGATTGGCTGGAAGTGGGAGCAGTAGGAAGGTGATTGGCTGGAAGTGGGAGCAGTAGGAAGGTGACTGACTGGAAGTGGGGGCAGTAGGAAGGTGATTGGCTGGAAGTGGGGGCAGTAGGAAGGTGATTGGCTGGAAGTGGGGGCAGTAGGAAGGTGATTGGCTGGAAGTGGGGGCAGTAGGAAGGTGATTGGCTGGAAGTGGGAGCATCAGGCAAGGTAGAGAACAGGGTAGGGAAACCTCACAGATGGAGGGCTTTGGTCTCCAGCACTGGAGGAGAGAGGAATTTCCCAATCGGCTGTCAGTACTATGATAAAATACAACCTCCCTGTCTGGCTGGTGAGCTAACAGAACCTCCCCCATCTGTTTCCAGGCTCCCCTGCTCCAGGCATTCCCACAGCCCCAAATGAAATACCTCTCCACACCACTTCCTTCAGAGCCCCCCGACCCTCACTGCTGTCTTCTCTCCTGGAGCTCCACTGCCTGCCCCGAGTCAACCCAACCCAGCTTAGAACATAATAACACCCTGGCCCAACACCTCCAGCCCATGAATTTTAATTTCCAGCAGTGGGCTTCATCTTAGTGCCGTGTGCTCTACTGACCAGACTGTTGTGTGCTAAGTCACTACTAGATGAAAATCCCACCACTAGGATACCGGCTTGCAGAGGAGCTAACCCTAACCCTAACCCTTCAGCTGGGGCAGGAGACTCCAAATTGTGTGAGCTGCTGTCATGAGCCTGAGCACCAGATCTCTCTAGCTAGGTCACTCTCTTTCAGGATAGTTCTGTCTCCAGTTTCTCCCTGCAAGTGGCTGAGCACCCTGCACACTCCATACATAGGTCCCTCCTTTGAGGGTTGACTTGCTCAGACTCTGGCTCCGTGTGGGACTGGGAACATATGGGGCTCATTTTTGGTTCCCACACAAATGATTTTGTGTACTTACTGGCATGGGAGTGGGTAGGCACCTGAGCATAGATGTGGCTGAAGCGTCGTCCTGAAGAGGTCATGTACCAGTGCTGGATGGCTGGCTGGGGGTCATATTCTGTGACTGCCACGCCATTCACTGCCGTCATCATGAGTGTGTTGAGCACCTCATTGGAAAGCTTAGTCCTCTCATCAGTTCTGATCCTGTTCATGGCCTTGAATCCCCGTTCACAGCAAGAAGTAGAGATGGGCACGATGACCACCACGGCCATGAGCTTGCTCAGTAGAGGGAATCGGCAGTGTTGAGTCAGGGCATTCTTACATAGCACGGAGAATGGGAGGTTCTGGGTAGCTGCTTTCAAGCTCAGCCACTCCTCCAGCAGCGCTTCCTCACTGTACCCCACAGGGAGGGAAAGTTCAAAATACCTGGCAAGGCTGAGAATGTCATTGTTCCCAAAGCAGGACAGTTCGATCCTGCTAGGCCAGGCCATGGTGTCTAATACCTCCATGTTTTTGAGCTGCAAGGGGCGGTCTGCATCAAACCTCTGCTGGAGGTACTCGACCCCAGTCAGGATCGTTCTCTCCCTGTCTGCCTGGAACCACTGCTCTGCCATCTCCACTCTGTCCAGGAAGATGCCATGGAGCTGCCCATCCTGGAAGCTGGCATTGAACTCTTCTTCTTTGGGCCCTGCCTGTTGGCGGAGACTCTCCAGCGCCACATAGGCATGCCCCAGGGTAGAATTCACTTCTGTGACCAGCACAAGCTCCTTCTGGCACACCTCAGACAGAGGCCTGTAGATGCTCAAGAAATCCAAAAGAAAGTGACAGAACTTGATGAAATGGAAGCCCTTCATCAGCTTCAGCATGCCCTTGGCTCTCTGACCAATCTGGCCGCCAGCCTCCACCACTCTCTGAAGATGCCTGGCTAGGGCAGGCCAGCACACAATGAGTGTGTTCAGAGTGCGTCTTTTGCTGGCCACCCATCTGATAGTGTTCAAGTCCTTCAGACGGATGATTTCCTGCTCCAAGGGAGCTGCAACACTCTGCAGCTCACTGAGCCTCTTATTTGAGGACTGATAAAACTTGAAGACAGTCCGGATGTGCCGATCACACTTCCTCACCAGATCAATGCTCCCACAAGCATCCACCACTGCCACATGAAGCCGGTGGGCCACACTGTGCACAGGCAGCAGCTGAGGGATGATCTCCTGGAACTTTTCCACAAGGCCTCCCTTGCAGCTCAGCATGGTAGACCCATCAGTTCCCAGAGCTACCACCCAACCAGGCTTCCGGAAAGGGATATCCAGCTCATCCAGGGTAGCAATAATGGTCTCAAAGTACCCATCTACTGTCTCACTGGAGAGAGGGGCTAGGGTGATATATGACTCCTTCACCTCCATCTGCTTCAAGTAGCGCATGTATATCCCCACACAGGCCTGGTTGGAGGAGTCTGTGCAGCTGTCCAATAGCAGGCTCACACATGGGGAGTTCTGAATGTCTCTTAGGATCTCCTTCTTCAAAGTTTCGGAGATATACTTGATGAACTGCGTGCAGGCAGTGCGATTCCGGTACTTACCTAATAGCGTAGTGCCAGTATTCTGGAGGAGTTGCAAGAGCTTCTCAAAGTCATTCAGAGGCCTGGAGTGGTACGCAATGGAATAGGCAGCATTGAAGAAGGGCTCCATGTTGGCCATGAGGTCACTGGAGATCTCTGGAGTGAGAGTAGGCTGAGGACTGTTATCTCTGATCTCCACAGTGTTGACACACAGTTTGTGTGCCTTACTGACCTCATGGTATTTTAAAGTTTCCACTTTAAAAGGCCCAGTGTAACCTTGGACCAAACGGGATGACTTGTCGTGGAGAGTTGGTCTTTCTCTGCAAACAGAGCAGAACAGCTTGGTCTCCTTGGAGTCCATTACTAACCAGGGGAACTGCCCAAACCACGACCTCTGAATGGAACGGGGCCTGTATGTCTTCTTGACTCTGCTAGGTCTGTCCACTTCTCCTTCAAACATGCTGGGAGAACAGTGAGAGGTACGTGTCTCTGTGGAGGCTGGAAGTGAGGAGGACTCTGTGGCTGAGGCCTGGGTTTGGATGTTGGATTCTCTGGCTGCTGCCAACTTTTTCCCTTTGAAAGAAAATTACATTGTTTTGTTTTGCTGTTCCTGGCTCTGTGGTCTACCAGCTAAAACAGAGAAGCCAAACACAGTCTCTACTATTAGTGGTCAATGCCAGCATCTATGAGCTCTATGAGCATTACTAGTGAAGGGTAACCTTGCAGAAGTGGCATACACTTGTTTGTTATTTTGCTGGCTTCCCCATCTACTCACCTAATACCCCAGGACTATGAGACATCAGATGCTGATAAACTTGGCCATAGACATTATTAGATAAGCAGGCAACTTTAAATCTTCTTGTGAAGCTTCACAAACAAGTGAGGTTAAATCCAAGGATCTTCATCTCACGAGTCTCAGAAAGGAGGTCAAGACTCACACAGTGACTTATGGACTAGGATGTGTAAAACATGTAGTTCTCACAGGCCACAGAGCTGTCACTGTTCCCCAGGAGGGGAGGGAGAGGAGGGGAGGAAAGGGAAGGGGAGTCAGAGAGTCAGGCCTAACCCACTGCTCTGCCCAGTGTCTTTCATTTACCTCCCCCCAGCTCAGCCACAGCCATCAGCACTTCTGTTCATCAGAGGACCTTATTTCTTTTGTACTGCCCCAGTGGCCTAGACTGTTCTACAGTCTCAGGTAAGGCTAGTTCCTTATTCATCTTTTTCTACCGGTAGTCCAGGAAAAACATGGCTCAACTCATGTTGCATGGCTTCCCACAGTTATATGTGTCTCAACCTGTACCTTTAGAACCTGATAAGGCTTGACTCACCAAGGGAACGACTTTTCCCTGACTTTAGCCCATTAGGGTCCTTGATCCAGGGTGAAGCTTTGCATTTCAGTTTTGTGATCAAGTCTGGCTTGGCAGCAGGTGGTTCTGTTGCAGAAATGAAGATTCATAATATCACTAGGCTGGCAGAGCACATAGCCCACCACAAGCTAGACCTGGCCCTGCAACATGCAGAGATGACTGGATTCTGTCCTTGGTAAAGGCCAGTTAGTGGGAAAGACTTAGAATATGCTCCCATCTGAATGCCAAAGTAGAGGCCAGAGAGGACTGTAATTCTAAGCCAGGATGAACTACTTCTATGGCTAGCTGTGGAAACCAAGAGCCAGTGAGATACTTCCAGAAGAGAAGTGGGGGAAAGAAACAAAGAATAAAACAGGAGAAAGATCCAGGCATGCAATGCAAAGCCCTATACAAGAGGCTGAAATTGCCATCAACTGCCCGTGCTTAAGCACCACCCCCATATAACCTCAGCTGGCTTTTGTGCAGGTAGCTAGCTGCATATATTTGAATGAAGACTCTTGGAAGATATCTACCAACTGCAATGGATCCTGAAATAGGATTAGGAGAGTTACACATTACTTAGCTCAGGGCATGCAAACTCGGTTGTTATTTAATGTAAAACCCATGACTTTCTTTCCTGTCATGCTTTTGTATGTCTGTGAAAGTGTACAGTAATGGGTCAGCAAGGAAGCTCAGTGGGTAAAGTGCTTAGTGCTTGCTACTAAGCCTGATGACCTGAGTTCAAATTTCCCAGGAAGCACATGGTGATAGGAGAGAAATTATTCCTACAGATTGTTCTCTGACATGTACATCTATGCCACAGCATACATATTCCATCCCCCCCCACAACACACATACACACATGTTGTTTAAAACACATAGAGGTAACTATGTTCTGAGTGCCTCTGGGAGGAACTGAAGGAGTGTGTTTATCTATCCTTTGGACTGACTGAGTATTCATATTCATGACACGGGTATCTGCGTGTATCCACATGTCTACTCTTAATAAAAACTAAGTAGGTAAATGATTAAGTGTGGCAGACTGAGTGAAGGATAACCAAAAGCACAAGCCCAGAGAAACACTGTGCTAGACACACCAGGAGACAGAAGATGTTGGGGAGGCTGGTGGTCAGCACAGAACCCCAGACCAACACAGAAATGTAGGCTCTGGTGGGCACAGTCACCAGTGGATAAGGAATGAGCAGGGCTGATGCAGGACCAATGCTGGCTCAGAGACCTAGGGCCTCCTAGGCTCTCCAAGGAACCGGGGAACAACGCCAATGCAGGGGAGCAGAGGCTGAGCACATAGGAAAATCTTCCAAGAGAAACTCCAGATGCCAGGACACTGAAAAGTGAAGGAGAGTGGTGTTTAAAACAAACTGGTTTTAGTTCGCAGGCTCAGGGGTACACTGCTAGATGCCAAGCACCCTGGCTGGTGTTTGCACCCTCTGCACAAGTGACAGGGAGGGTGTGTGTGCATCTGCATACGTATGTGTGAACTGGAACTGTCCTTCCTTTCCCTCCAAACATCAATATATTCTGAGTTTTGCAGTCTCTTCTATGTCACACACTCAAATTACAGCTGGTCCTCACAGTGTCACCTACCCTTAAATGATTATACAGAGCTTCCTGTTGGCTTTTAAGCCTTTTAAAATTTTTTAAAATTGTTTTGGTATTATTAAACATCATCATTATTACTATTATTATTAATAATAATAATAATAATAATAATATTTTGAAAAAAGGTCTCTCCATGTAGTCTTGGCTATCCTGGGAATTTACTATGTAGACAGTGCTGGCCTCAAACTCACAGAGACCCACCTGTCTCTGCCTCTCAAGTGCTCAGAGTAAAGGTATATGTTACCACACCCAACAAGGTTTTGTTTTTAAAATAGGAATGAACTTAGAAAACAATAGTTTAAGAAAGCCTCTTATATGACAACAAGAGACTAAAATAAGCAGGGGAAGGTACTAGATCTAGAGATACTGCAGGGAGCAACATGGAATTTTAAAGCAGGAACTAAGAATTCATATTGAGGGGTTGTAACAGGACTCAGCAGTGAATATTGCTGATCTTCCAGAGGACCAGGTTCGGTTCCCAGCACCCACACTGGTAGCTCATGACTGCCCCTTGTCCAGCTCTTCTGAGCTCTGTGGGCACTACCTCACACATGGCAGACATGCACAAACATTCACATAGATAAAAACAATCTTTAAAGAAGTTTTTACTCATTCGTGTGCATGGTTGTTTTGTCTGCATGTATGTCTATGCGCCATGTGTGTGCTTCTGGTGTCCTCAGAGGCCTCAGGATTAGAGTTCCAAAGTATGAGCCACTATGCAGATGCAGGTAATCAAACCCAGGTCCTCTGAAAGAGCAGCCAGTGTTCTTAACCCTGATCCCTCTCTTCAGCCCCAAAATTATTATTTTTAAAAATAAAGGATGGTCTCCAAGAAAAAGAATTAATACTGACAATAAGAAAAGTCATAATGGTACTGCAGGAGAGAAGAAAGTGATCTCAGAAATGATAGCAAAAACAGAAAATTCCAAAAACTCAAAAATAAAACAAAAAGCCCCAAAACCTGAATTGCTGGGTTATAAAATGAAGACACTTACCTGAAAGTTGTAAAAAATAAAACACAGAAAGTAGAAGAAAAGAAACAAAACAAAGTCTAAGTCTAGGAAGTATCTGCTAAAGAAGAGTTTTGAGAAAAAAGAAAAAAAAAAAAAGACTGAAGAAATCACAGGAGAAAATTATTTTCCTCAGCTACAGTTGGGGAGGGGAGCCCCAGAGCAAATGGTAACACCCACTAGAGCATATGATAAAATACATTAGTACACTAGATTTTTCAAAAGGTAACTATTACTTTTAATTAAGCACATGTCTGTGTGTAGGTATGTGTACATGAATGACCAGAGGTGTCGGGGCCCCTAGGCAATTGTGAGTTGCCAGACGTGGGTGCTAGAAAACTAAACTTGAGTCTTCTGCAAGACAATTTCATGGTAACAGCTGAGCCAATTTTCCAGTCTCCACTGGGATAGACTTTAAAAGCCCTCGGGATAAATAATATATTGTGTTCAAAGATTTAGGACTAAGAAGGGTATTTGATTTCTCAGCAGCACCAGTAAAAACCCAACAGAACAAAGCTTCCAAACCATGCTAAGGAAATGGTTTCTATCTGGACTACCGCACCCATCAAGTCATAACTCAACTGTGTGGGTACTATGAAGGTGCTTTTGCATCTACCATCTGTTAGGAAGCTACCAGAAGATGTGTCCACAAAAAAGAAAGTTCCAGGAAGTGGGAAAGTGACAAAGTGACAAAGGAGACTCTAAGCCACAGCTATGTGGCAGACCTAGTAACTAGTGTGGTCACTCATTTAGATGGAGTAGGGAAGAGCGCCCAGAAGAAGAATGAAGTCAACAGATCTCAGGATGTTTGACCATAAGGAGAGACATCAGATGTGTTTCTTAACTCCACTGGAGAGTTTGGGAAAAATCAAAGGGAGTACAATAAATAAATAAATAAATAAAAAATAAAAAAAATTAAATTAAAAAACATGAAAAAAAATCCCACTTTCAGGGTGAAAAAAAAATCTACAATGAAGGAAACAGTACAATATAGCACTCAGCAGTAAATAACACACAATCACAATTAGGTAAAAACTTACATTGACGTAACCATAAAAGCACGCTATACCTGTTCTGAGAGGATGGAAAGGACAAAAGTGGACCTGTGTGGCGTAAGAGGCCATGTCTTCATCCTCCACAGTAGGAATCACTACGTAACATCTAAAATTAAAGCAGGAAGAGTAATGAACACATGCAACAGTGTGCTTAAGTATGACTCTGTCTGCCTGTTTGGGCTGAAGGCATCAAATATAAGGCAACAAGGCCAAGAAGATGACTCAGCAGGTTAAAAATACTTGCCATTAGGCATGACAATCTGGGTTCAATTCCTGGGACCTATATAGAAGAATGAGAGACCCAAACTCCCACAAGTTGTCCTCCAACTGGCAGACACAAACCCACATACATGCACACAGATACAATAAATAAATATAATTCTAAAAGAATTTAAATGGAGTTCTGTTGTCTCTATAAGGGCAACAAGGCCCCTACTAGATACCACAGGCTAATAAAAAACCCAGTGCTAGAAATGGGATACTCCTTTTGGAGTTGGCCAGTGAGGTACCTCCAACATTATAGCCAATTGCCAATAACACTGGTTACCTTCTGGAATTTGATGCTGAGACCCTATAGCTGAAGACACCACTTGAGTCATAGAAAATGGAGAAATCAAGCTCATACTGACCTAGAAGCTTTATCCCTGTTGGTTAGCACTCATAGTGCCAGAAGGTACTATGCATGCTATTGTGGGAGAAATGTAATTAGAAATCTTATCCACTTGTGAGCCCTACAAGCTACAATAATTACAGGCCTGGCAAGACATGCCCACCGGTACAATAGTAAAAGTCATAGAAGTAACCAACCACTTTCTGCCTAGTGTTAAATCTATACCTGATACCATTACTGAGCCAAAAACCTGTGGCTAGACAGGTCCTAGGCCCTGGGGAGAACCTGCTATCATTCTAAATGAACACAGTATTTAACAAACCGCTAATGACTTATCATAATACCCATAGATTAGAGCACCTCTTGACGCCCATCAGAGAAGCTTCTTTCCTCAGCAGATGGCATTAGCGGAGACTCACAACTGGTGAAGGTGAAGAGAATAAGAGACTGTGGAATGTTCAGCCCTAAATGGGACGTCTGTATCATATACCCCCTTCCAAGGCTCAGGAGTCATTGCAGAAGAGGGGAAGGAAAGAGTCTAAGAGCCGGTGTTTTCTGGATGGAGCACTTGCATATATGAACTAAGAGAAGTAGTTGAGACATCATGCACAAGACTTTTGCAAGCTCAAATCAGACAAAAGTGCAAGTACTGGGAAGAGAGGTAGGCACAAAATTCTACCCCTTTTGGCAATTGATGGCTTCTGGGAAAGGGAGAGTCAGCCTTTTAAGGGTGTAGTTCTAAGTAGGTTGACCATGCTCAAATGAAAGATCATACATCCAAAAAACACATAC